GCACAGGCAAACACATGCTAACAAATACCTTCTTGCCAACCTAACCTCCATCAAGATCAAATGCTCAATCTCATTTCTCCACACAATTACTCAAATGCTTCAGCATCTTGAAGTTAAACCAAAATTCATTTGAACTAAAATAGCTATGGAAAAAATATCCTTGGAGTCCATAATGGTTTATTTCCTTCAAAAAAAAAGGCTCTCAAATTAGTGGCCTTAATTTCTGTTCTCTGTGACAGTAACAGAATAAATATCCAAAAACCCCAACGGATCAGCTATCTTTATACTCATATTTGGGCACTTATATTCAAAATGAGCAGGTACAGAGCAGCAGTAGGAATACAGTCCAGTTTACCAAATCCCTTCATTCTGGAGCTATCTTCCATACAGCTGAGTTAAAATGGCAAACGTACCTTCATTCTCTTGGCCAACAGCTTTGCATACTCTGCAGCTTCCTCCTTGTTCTTCTGAGTGCGCTGCTTCTTCAGGGCGATACGCCTGCGCTTATGCTGCAGCACTCTAGGAGTCACCAGTCGTTGGATCTTGGGAGCTTTCGTTCTGGGCTTCTTGCCTAAAAATCATTACACATCAGTGGAAGTGGCAGAGTACCTGCATGAGAGGCCGCAGGCCTCATCCAGCCAACTTTAGAGTAAGTTTGATTTACCATTACATTATTTAGAATACTTCATATTACAAACTACAGAGTTCAATACCTTCACAGATTTTACAGGAACAATTATCAATGATCACCAGATGCAGCATTAACAATATACTATCTTAATGCTTGTGATTTGTTATTAGAAATATAGTGTGAATTCTAGCTTCTCAGCAGGCCTCTCTTTTAACTCCTCTCTAGACCTATATTTTTTAGTAATAAAGGAATCCACTATATAGCTTCCAGAACAAGCCATTGTTTCAGCATTAAAAAGACTTCTACATTTTTCTACTTCTACATTGTTTCAGCATTAAAAAGACTTCTAGGTTTGACACTGCTTATCCCAAAACACAAGGTTGACTGTCCACAATGGGCAACCAAAACACACTACCACACACATCTGTAAAATAAAGCAAAAAACCCCAAAATTAAAATCTTAACACTGCAATAGAGAGGTAGTAAGGAAAGCAGTGTCCTGCCACTAAGACCTCTATTCAGACTGCCTGCTATAAACAAGGAGGGAAAAAAAATCTTAGCGTTTTCTCTCTATACTGCCTTTCCCCCCCACACCATGTAAATTTTAACAACATTCCACCTTGTATTTAATTTTCTTTCAACAGCAACTACTTCTGAGTTATTCTTAGAAACACTAGTAAAAATTACTCCAGATTCTATCAAACATCTAAGAACAAACGGTAACAAAACATGGCAGAGAGGTGAAGGAAATGAGGGAACCAAGAAACTCTACTTTTTTCCACAAATTATGACTGACAAAGCTTAAACACAGTGAGTGTCAACTTCCCAGATGCACTGTACACTGTGCAGCAGGCTTAAAAGAAACCCGCAGAGCTGTACCATTGGGAGCTCTTACCCTCCTTGTTCAGAGGCTTCCTCACAACATACTGGCGAACGTCGTCTTCCTTGGACAGGTTGAAGAGCTTGCGGATCCTGCTGGCCCTCTTGGGACCAAGACGACGGGGCACAGTTGTGTCAGTCAGCCCAGGAATGTCTTTCTCACCTTTGGGAATTTAAGTTTAAACACATCAATTACTGCACTATCGAGCACCAGGTTCAGCAGCAAAACAGTAAGTTTAAAATACATAAGAATGCAAGGTGATGCTAGGTCATCTTTGGGGTTCACCTGTCAATAGCACTACCCTAGCCACCCTTGGCTACTTTGACATGCTCAGATTGCTGGCAGCAACAGTAAGTGTTCTAGTGACCGGTTTTAGCATTACAAGAATGCAATGCTCAGAGGACTGCTAAGATGCATTCACACTCTGAAACTGGGACTGCCATTTCCATTCTACACAACTTACCAACCACAGTCAAGCAGGCTCCTTTCAGGTACCTACATCTATCTATTTATTAGCTGTTTCATTCAGACTCTTACCCTTTTTCACTATGACCAAGTTCAGGACACTCAAGTTTGCATCAACAATGCAGCCACGGACAGACTTGCGCTTTCTCTCTCCAGTTCTCCTGGGGCGATAGCAGGAATGGCCCTTGCTGAGCAGAAGGCGGACACGTCCGTGAGTCAGGACACCCTGCTTCATGGGGAAGCCTTGCTTGTCATTGCCACCGCTTATCCGCACAACATATCCCTACAAAACAGAAACACTCGAAGTAACCAATCCTTAATTCCCCAACAAACAAAAAACAACAAAAAATGCACAGAACAAGGGAGCAGCATGTCCACGATTTAGCTTAAGTCACTGTGACTGCTAGTGCAAACAACTTTAACCAACACCTTTGGAACAGTTCTGCAATTTTACTCAAGATGTGTACAAATTACCTCCGTATACCAGAATTTACATTTAGCATGATTCACATCCATTTCAAGTTTTGTTGGAAAGTAATAGTAATAGTGCAAAATCTTTTACCATTATTGTCTACCTTTTCTGCAATTTTAAGCTTAATTAAAGCCAGTTATCTTGACAAACTGGGAATCTGCACAGAACACAGGAGTGTTTAGAGTAGTGACACACAGGAAAAAAAGGTTTGATCACTTCTGAGGAAGGCAGCAGAAAAGATCACATTCCTCAAATTCAGCTGCACTGTCCATATTAACACTACTCCAAGCCCATCCACCAGGCCAAACATGTTTTTTTTTCATACATCAGCAGCAGTTTAAACAAAGTCAATTTTAAACCAGCAGTTTTATATTTCAGATTTAACTTGTTCTGCATACCAAGAGACAGCATTCAAATGAAGAGCAAAAAGCTACTGTGAAGGGGAGCAAGAAACTCTAAACACAAGGCTTTAAAAACAAACCCCCCCACTCAGAAAAAGCACCCAAAGAAGCTAGCCTAACCAGTAATTTCAGTACTTACACTGCAAGAGAACCTTCCACCCTGACCACTTACACACCATAGAAACACTAGAGCGTGACAAGTGCACACTGGAGAAATTTTGTGTTTTATCCTCCTAAAATACAACTCTTACACATTCTTCTGCACTGCTTACCTTCCACTCCTCACCAAGGGAATCAGCCAGCACCTCCGTGGCCATTCGTTTTTCATAAAATGTCCTGAGCTTACGCTCATCGTCTACTTCAATGAGCTTCTGGCAGCCAGTAGCCGGAAAAGAGATGTTGAGCTAACAAAGAAAGAAACAAAAACAAAAAAATTCCGGTTGAAACTTCTGATGAAGGATTTTAACGAAAAATTAGAATTTACACGATGGTTTGAGCTTGGCACTTCAAAGCTGGAATTCCCCAGGTGCTTACACAAATGCCCATCAGGAAAAGCTGTCACCACTACACTTGGTAGAGCCAAGTCAGGGAGAGCTATGTTTGGCTGCACTGGGCTGTACAACTCCTTCAGTCGCAAAGAAAACTGATTTTATTGCAGTCAGAAATCAATCACCGAATGCGAGAAGCAGAAGCCTGTGCTCTCCTCTTCCTACAAATCCCTCACAGCGCACGCCGCACAAGTCACTGCAAGGGACCAACACCTGCTGTGGGACATCACTCACACTTCCTGGGCCCGCTGCAAAGCCTGCCCCACTGCCTCGGGCACAGCGCACACGGGACATCCCCACCGGGCCCTACAGGCGGCCGAACGCCCCTCCGAGCCAAGCGCCCGCTCCGCCAGCCCGGTGCTCCGCACCCCCGCGGCAGCAGAGCCCGACCGAGGAGATGGGGCCCGCAAGCAATCCGCTCCCATCCGGCCCGCGGCTGCGCTCCAGCCCCGCCGCCGGGCACCATCGGCCAGCAAGGACGGCTCTGCGGGCAGCGCCGCCACCATTGACGGCGGAGCAGCCCGAGCCCCCCGCCCCGAGCGCGGCCCGGCCGCGCGGCCTCACCTTCATCCTGCCCTGCCTCGGCGCCGCGGGAAAAGGCCGCGCTTCCGCCCGCACTTCTTACATACACCCAGCAACTCTCGCGAGAGCAGTGCCACGCGCGCCCCGCGTGACCGGAGCTGCCCAATGCCGAGCGAGGCTTCCAGGGCGGGGGGCGGGGCCGGGGAGAGGCCGGGGGCGGGGCCTCGTGCGCCAGGCCCCGCCCCTCCCGCGCGCCCCTGCGGGCGGGGGCGGGCCCGGGCCCGGGCCGCCAGGCACAGAGTGCGCCTTAGGAACGGCCGGGGGGACGGCACGCAGGAGCTCCGGCTGTGGGCACGGACACCTGCGGAAAGAAGCGCCATCAACACGCGACGCAGCGGCTCTCAGGGGAAGGCGCGTTGTTTACGCAGCTCCCGCCGCGACGGGCGTCCCAGTTCCCTGCTGCGCCGTGTCCATCTGCGCGGGGAGCGGGGAGCGGCGAGCGGGGAGCGGGGAGCGGGGAGCGGCGCTCCTCTCCGTCGCGCGGCTGGAACTGACGCTGACACTGCCCCCTGCCCCCTGCCCAGTTCTGACCTCCGCAGCACGAAAGGGACAAGGAGCTACTGGGGCGCCACAAGGATGATCAGGGCTCTGGAGCTTCTCTCGTGCGCAGAGAGACGCTGGGAGCTGGGACTGTTTGGTCTGGAGAAGACAATTAGAGGGGATCTAATCAATACATAGAAATATCTCAGAGGTGGGTGCCAAGGGGATGGCGCCAGACAAATTCCAGTGGTGTCCGGTAGCACAGCATAATGTCCCTAAACTAAAACACAGGAAGTTTCACCTTAACACAGAGAATTTCTTTACACTGAGGGTGGCAGAGCACTGGAACAGCTGCCTGGGGAGGTTGTGGAGTCTCCCTCTCTCGAGACACTCAAAACTCACCTGGGCATGTTCCTGTGTCACCTGCTTTACGTGACCCTGCCTTGGCAGAGAGGTTGGACTGGATCCTCTCCAGAGGTCCGTTCCACACATAACAATTCTGTCATTCTGTGAGATCCCTAAGCGTACAAGGGAGGCGGGCATGCTGCCCATGCCTGTGGAGCAGCTGGTGCTCAAAGCCGCCGGGGAGCGGGGAACTGGCGCTCTGCACCTTGGGGACAGGCTCAGGAGAGCCAGGCGGTGCGGGAGCCCGCTGCCTCCGCTCGTACTCTAGTACCCATTTACACAAACAGGTGTCAGCGCCTTGAGGAGCATGCACGGCAGTGATGGGTCAAGATTGAAAAGTACCTTGGTGTTTGGATGCAAGGTTTTTCTGGTTTCTCCCAGATGTGTTTGGCTCCAAGAAGGCAAAGCTTTCATGGAGAGTTTGCCTTTAGGTAGCAGGATGAAGTAAGGAGTGTGTTTTTGGAAGAGGAGGAGATACCTGTTTAAGAAAGCAACTGAAGTATGGAGGAGAGGGAAGAGGAATAATGTAATTGTTGCTTCCTTCCAGTTAGTCATGGTTTACCCCCGTGTCCTCTTGTAGCTTTCACTCAGCTGCTGGAGAGAGCTTACAAGAACAGTCACAGCAGCAGAGCCAGACTGCCGTGTATGACATACCTTGGAAAGGGAGTAATGCTCCTGACATCCTGTTGATGTAAAGAATAGCAGTGACAGATCCACTAGAATAAGATCATCCACTGGGCTTTTGGGTAGTTTACCCTTCCTTGAAAATCACCTGTCCAGGAGCAAACCTGCAGGGCAGGTGTTTTCTGTTTTCTGGTCTGTAGGAGGTGGTTTGTGCACAAATGAGGAGCTGGAGTTTCTGCTTTGTCTCTTTTATACTTTAGAGTGGGCAGATTTTTTTTTTTCCCCCAAATTCCATCCTTGTCTGTGTTTCCCTTTCAAGCCATGTTTCTTTGACTGCCAACATGTAGTGGAAGAAGAAGTGTCTGGCTTCCCTGGCTGGAGTTTGTATCATGGGAGGTTCTGCACATACAGAGTAAGTAGTTCCATGGTGCACTGCCGTACATTGCTAACTTGTTTTCTTCTTGTACTTAGCTGCCAAAGTCCTAAAGATGGCAGCTGGTCTATGCAACTGAAGAATTTTGAGAGTGTGTGAGGGAAACTGTTGGGTTTTTTTGTGTGTCTGATGTCACTGTGCACGAACCAAAAAAGGGAGGAAAAGGTCAGGATAAACAAGTTATTGAAGACAGCAAACGTGTTTTGTAGCCAGCTATGCAGGGGGATGGGTATCCTTCGACTGTATGTGCTGGTTGAGTCTGGGGTAGAGTGAATTTTCCTTATAGGCACTGGTATGGGGGGTTTTGTGCTGGAAACAATCTTGCTAACTCAGGCATGTTTTATTTACTCCTGAGCAGACCTTACTCAGACCTTTTCTGCTCCTCACCTCACCCAACTACCAAGTGGGCTGGGTGTGCAGAAAGCTTCTGGAGGGGACACAGCTGGGATAGCTGATTCCAACTGACTCAGTGGATTTCCCAAGCCATATGGTGTAATGATCAGCCCGTAGAGCTGGAAGAAGGAGAAGGAAGCAGTTTGAGCCTTTAGGGTGGTGGCATTTGTCTTCTCAAGTCACTGTTACATGTAATGGGACCCTGCTTCTCTGGGGATGGAGAACACCTGCCTATCCATGAGGAGTGCTGAATGAATTCCTTATTTCACTTTGTGTGAAGAGCTTATGTTTTCCCTATTGGACTGTTCTTATCTCAACCCCCACAAGTTTTCTCACATTTACCCTTCTGATTTTCTCCACCATCCTGCTCTGAAGGGAGCGAGCAAGCAGCTGGACATAGTTGCTGGGTGGGATTAAATCACAACACTGTACTGAGCTGATTAGTGGTGGTATAGAAACTTGTGAAAACGCTAGAAGCTGCATTTGTGTCCAGATCAATAACTGAGGCTTCAGATAGTTGGATAGACACAGAAGAAAGTTTGCCCCAAAGCCTGCTGTGTTGTGGCAGCTGTGTACAAATCAGCTGTATGCTGAAAGGGGAGGAGAAAAAAGGCAGTGTTGAGGATAGTCATGTTTAGGCTCTCTTCAGTAATTCCAAGTCATTGTTAGGGCTTGATTTCTCTTTTAGCAACATCTGAAAATTAAAACAGTGAGTTGCAGTGAATTGATGGGATTGTGCAACTGTGTCCTCAAAAAAACAGATGCTCACAGGACAGTTATGAAGTTTTGGCCCTACTCTATAAAGTACCATATCTGGCATCTAAATTATATTCCTTCTAGGGGGAGTTTGTTCTGACTGATTCAAACTCCCTCAAAGTTCCAGGAAGTACTCTTCAGCAGACCTGAATCTGGCATCTGGGTCATTAAACTTCAGATTAAAGCCTTGCTAATCCACATTTTAAATTGCCGTGGCGGAGCTCAGAGTTGTGGTTGAGGTCTCATGCAATATTCATGTAAGCACAAAACTGGAGCAGCTTATCTGAAATGTATTTTTAAAAATTATTTATTCTGTGGGATTTAAACAGAAAAAAAAATTAAACAGAATCAAATCTGTAGGATAAATCTCCTTGTAAGTTTTGTATAAATTGATCAAACTAATTTTTTAAAGCATACACAGGTTGGACTTAGCATGATTTTTGCCTAGCTAAAGTGATTAGGGTCTCACACTTTTTCAGTACAGAGGTCACAAAACACTCCATAGCTCAAACTGAAGGAATAGGTATAAAAACAATATATTTTTTCTTTTTTTTCCTTCTGAAATGAATAATCTGTTCTAATGCAGTGTACCCTACTCCACCCCATAACAAATGCCTCCAAATGTTCAAAAAATTTTTCTCTGTGAAGAGGTACTTACAAAATAAAAGATATTACTTATTTTTTAAATAAGCAACAATACCTGAAAACAGTATTTTTTCCTGTTAACTGGGAAAGTCAATATCTAGCAATTCAATATGTTGCATTTAGTTGTGCTTGTAATTTCTATTTACTCAGGGAATTGCCAGGGTTTTATTCTTCCTTTGCCCCCTAGTGGCATGGAAATAAAAGTTTTAAAAAGTTATAAGGTAGTCTTAAGAATACTTGTACTCTCCCTATAGCATCCTTTTTTTACCACAGAAGTGTTTTAGTAGACATGAATGTCATGTTTAGGTACCAGGATATGGAGGATACACACCCTCTGATGTTACTGGGAGATACTTTAGTCCAGTTTTGCTTTCTGCACAGACAAACATGGTGCAATAAGTTTTTCTGTAGTAATTGAATGCTGCAGCTGCTCTTTGGAAGATGTAATCAATAGTGATGAATACCTGAGCTTTGGTAGGACTGCAGGAAACATCTGTGTCAAGACAGTGGCCAGATGTGACTGAAGTTGCATGATCATGATCGAAGCAAGCCCATTCTCTCTGTCCTATAGGCCTATGTCCTGAATAGCTACAATATAATTAATTAGTTGAAAATTAAAACTAAAGGTCCAGAATTATATTAAGCCAAAATAATGGACTGTTACTGAAGGGGTGCTTGCCTGTTTTCCAGAACTGTAACTATCATTGCCTTTTGCAGATGCCAAAGGAAATCTTCTGTACTACTGATGTAAATTTTGCACTTACTATAATTATCAAAGTATTTGAATTGTTCATTACCAAATCATGGAGGCCAGTTATGTATTAATATAAAAAAAGCACATGCAATGTACTTTCCGAAGCCATACTTTAGTAGTTTTTAGTACTACAATTATTTCAGCTTCTGAGATGTTAACAAATCCTCCTGATGACCACTGCGAAGAGTACAAGTCATGCTCAGGCTACAGTTTGCAAGGGGTTTTTTACATTTGCAGGCAGGACCTTAGAATGGGTAGGAGTTCATGCCCAGAGGAGTGCTACTATAGCACAGAACTGCTCCCATGTTGGCTAATAACTTGTATAAATCTACATTGCTACAGCTGTGGTACATAGATCTAGTGTGTCCTTTATCACCTTGTTCCTAGGTGGAATAAGGACTTTCTAGCCAAATTTTGATAAACTGTGATTGCCTGTTCTGATTTTCTTCATTGGTCAGTTTCAGGTCACTGGTCTTCAATAGCTTGATCTTGTACACTTTCTGAATTGCCACAATCTTGAACATAGATTCTCATTAAAACTCCTTTGGGAATTGACTTGAATTGTGACTAGCCACATTTTCCATTGCAGAAAGTTTTTATGCAGTTACTAATTTAATGATGTTAAAACAAGTTGATGCTTTTGCAAAAACAGCTCAGCATAGGCAGAAATAGGGGTTATAACTTGTTGAACTGGGGCTTCACTGAATGACAAAATGTTATTATAGAAAAATGTTATAATAAAATTGTTATTATATTGTTCATTTAAGATCTGTTTATTTTCTGTCTTTGTGAGACTGTTTGGTTTTTTCCTAGATAAGCAACGTCGTGTTTTTCATTTTACCACCCATATGTACGTGCTTGTTCCATCAATAGGCAATCTGCTTCACCAGTGGAATATATTTAATATGGATTCTGTTAATTGTGGTTGGTAAATTGATTATTCTGTATTTGCCAAATCATGTGTGAAGTGAGAGAGAACCTAAGTTTTTCCTGCTTGTACTTGACTGTTTTTTAAAACAAAGCAATCCTGACATCTATGGAAGAATTTGCTTGTATTTGCTTAAAGCCAAAGCATAATTTCTGGAGGGAAAATGCCTTTTGCAAACTGAGGTTGGTGGAAAATTTGACCATAGTTCTGTTCCTTTCCAATCCTTCCTTGCATATTTTTTTTTTCCTTGTGTTTGGGTTTACTCTACAGCAGTGCTGACCCTCATTGCTTAAATAAAAGCTGAAGTGCCAGTGCAACTTAGGAGAGGAATAGGGTTTATACTGAGAAGGCCCAGAGGTGTAGATGTGAGATTCTGAAGTTTGTTCATTCTTGGAGGCACTTCAAGGGGATAATCAGAGCCCTCTGGGGTAGTGTGACACTTTCCACATGTAAATCTGTATCATGGAGTAGTCATCGGATGCTGCTTTTTCTCTTTTCTTACCCATTCTTGTGCTATTGAGGAAATTCTGAAGCAATATTTGGCATTTATTTCTTAATTGGTTTTGCTTTTTATTTTCTACCTGGTATTTCTTCAGGCACATCTTTTATAGTAGGAGCTGATATTTTTAGCTGCTACTTTTGTAATCTACTTTTGTGATGTACTTCTTTTCATGATTAGGGAGAGTATGATAACTTTATTGCCCCTAAGTAAAGTTGGTGGTTTTTATGATCTTTTCTAGACCATTTCCTGTAGCTACCATTTTCTGTGAAGTTCTGAGCATGAACAGAATGTTTCAGTCTATTATGGTACTGCAGCTGTTCGTAATACTGTCTCAATTCATTCTTCCAGGAATTGGATCTGTTTATTTTCATGCTACCCTCAGTTTCTTGGGCCAGATGCTGGATGAGCTGGCTATTCTCTGGGTTCTGATGTGTGCTCTTGCCATTACAAACCCCACAATGAGGTTCCCTAGGAGATACCTGCCTAGAATTTTTCGAAATGACAGGTAATCATACAATGATACATGTACACTTTCATGTTTTCTGAAACTTCTTGTGCTAACACCTAAGCCTGCACATAATGGCATCAGATTATCAGCCCACTATCACTGCTATTTTTTCTCTACTCCATTGTCTTCCAGTTGCTTTTATCTCATTCAGCCCATTTTGTTCAAAATTCCCAAGTCAGCAGTTGCTGGTAGTGGGATTTGTGTCCTGTAACTTCAGGTGAGATATTAGATGAGATGTTCTTGTTGATTCTAGGGAGACTTTTATGATGAGTAGTTTATACAACTTAAAGCTAATGTAGAAGAAGCCATATTTCACTCTTCCTTTTGTATATCCTGAAGGGTATATACAAGTGAACCTATGGAAGTCAGCTGACTATTCATGTGAATTTTTAAAACAGTGGTTAAGGATGGTGTTTAGGCATTAAAAGGCAAAGTATTTATTTAGAAAACTATTGTTGTAAAGGTATTTTTGTTCTTTTTCTTGCAGGTTAAAAAAAAATACAGCCAGTATAAGCCATCTGATTGTGGTTTGCACCTCCCCCCTCCCCCCAGTAAAAACATAATGTTGTTCTTTAACGCAGTAAAGAAGTTAAGGTAATGGAGAGGCTTGAATTGCAACATCAGTGTTATTCTCTCTGGAGATTGCTAAGATTTTTGCCCTCTTACACTGTTACTCTCTGCAGGAGTTTTTTGGGTTTATTTATTTGTTTGATTGTTGGGGGTTTTGTTTGGGTGGCTGGTTTATTATTGATAATATGCCAGATTATAAGTTGCTAATGCATGGAGAGAAGTTTGGTGGCTAGACTGACCATACCTCAAAATAGTTTGCACTGGGTAGGGTGTACATATAATTACTGTATGCAGCCTATGTGCATGGACCACTCCTCTTCAACATCAAGACTGGAAGGAATACTTACAAGATAACCACGCTAAATTGGGAGTAGCTGTTAAATCCCTTGAGGGCAGAGAGGCCTCTACAAATGACAGCA